AATAAGCAAATGTAAGTGTGCGCAGCAGCCTTCTTTTCCTCTGGGGCGGGCTTCTTTTCAGCTGCTGGTTCCTTGGTTCCCTGCAGCCTTTTTTCCCACCGCAGGCTCCTTGCCCCGAGCCCCCTCCTGATCCGATGTGGCTCCTGGTGCTGCCGCCGCCTCACCCAGGCGGATTTCGCGGCTCTCGGCTTGCCGAGCAGTGGTGCTCCGGCGCATGGTCCTTGCTGTGGGTTAAGCGTCAACAGGAGTCTCAGGTTTTCCAGTGGATTCTTCAGGACTCTGCGATGAATCTTCTTTCGTGGTGCTTAGAGTGCTCTTTGGATTTCTGGACTTTTCAAGGGTCTGCTGAGGCCTGTATTGAGCATCTTGTGCATGGGGAGGTTGTAGTTACTCTTGAGGGAGTCTGCTTGATGCCAGTTGCCATACCGCTCACCTGACTTTCGGGGAGCGCTTTCAGTCCAGATGCAGAAACGTCCCGCATGACCGCCAGGAGCAAGTTTCAAAATTGTTCAACTTGCTTATATTAAGTGGAATGATTCCAGGGATGTTTCTGAAGGCCTTGATGATACCATTGTCCGCGTTATCGATGAGGCAGGGGCCCCTGCGCTGGATACAGCTTCTCATTTCACCTTGGCCAGCTCCCATTCGCCGAGCGGCACAGACCTTTGTGATATCATTCCAGACCTGTTTCTTCAGAAGCCACAGCCTCCTTGGTCTTCTTGTAGCCTTCAGCTTTATCTTCAGCCACCAAAGAAAGTGCAGGAGCTCGCTCTACACGATGACCTTGAGGCATGACCAGCGCTGGTGGGGCCGAGGCAGCCGGCACAGAGCAGATGGAATACACGGCAGATGTATTTGCTCTGCAGTGCCAACGTCTCCCGGTCCTGGTTGGTGCAAACAGGCGGCCCCCACAGCCCATATTTCCAGAAGCACGCTGGCCAGGACGGGGAGTCCCGCCACCTCAAACCCTGGGAATTCGAGCCACAACTCTGCCGGTACCCCGAGGGTTTGACGAGCTGCTGAGCCACCGACAGCAGAGGGTTGTCTGTTGCTTCTGTGCAAGTTGGTGCGACCAAGTTCATGATATCGGGTCTAACGGGAGCCTGGAACACAGCAGGCAAAGTGGCATTTTTTTGCCAGATGACCCCCCCTTTTTGGAGTACACGGGTGTCAGTGGACGAGCACACGCTGTCGCGGGAGGAGGAGAAGGCCACGCTCCTCTCACCCGGCGGCTCCCGCAGGAAAAGTTCTCTGTACTTTTAAACTTTGCCCTTATAAATAGAAATCTAAAACGAAAACACCACTTCGTTGTTATTGAGCAACTGTCATGGATTAGGTGTGTTAAACATGCTAGTTTTTTCTGTTTGCCTTGTACTGATTTTTAAAACTTCATTTTGAAATAACTCTAGGTTTATAGCAAGTTACATAAGCAGTACAGAAAGGGTACTGAAGGTTACATTTTACCCAAGACTTATCCACTGAGCGCTAAATCTTACACAACTATATGCAATATCAAAACAAGGAAATTGGCCTTGATATGATGGCTTGTATGGTATTATGACAGCTTAGATTTGTGTGAAACCTCCACCCACAATCAGGACATGGAACCATCTCTCCCACACAAAGATCTGCCTTGTGTTATTCCCCCAGGCACACTTCCCTCCCTCTCGCACCAACTCTAACCCTAGGCTATCTCATTAATCCTTTCTCTCTTTGCTATAACTTTGTCATTTTCAGAATGTGATTTAAATGGAATCATGCAGTTACACAATCATTCATAAAATCTAATTAAAAAAAAAAATCCCACCCAGGAAGCAGATTCTTCTCTAAGAACCCATCTCCTTTTCCATGTAATTTCTTAATATTCCATATGTGTATAATGTTTTCAAAAGCAAAAACCAGGATAACATATGTACAATAATATACATCACAGTGTTATAATATCCAAAACTGGAAACAACCCGCAAGTTCATCAACAGGAGCACAGACAAATGCACTACGGCTGATTTATACATTCAAACACTAGACAGCAATAAAGAAAAGTGCATAAGAGAGACACATGATTGTATGGCCGAAATCTTACAGATGCTACATTGAGTTAGACGTGAGGCACAGACAGAAAATAATGTGTGATTTCGCTTACATGAAGTTCAAGAGCAGGCAGAACTAACTGATGCTGATAGAAGTCAGGATAGAGGCTCACTGCGGGGGAGGGGACATGAGAACATTTTAGGGTGCTGGAAGTGTTTTCTATCTTGATCTGGGTAAGGGTTAATAAAATGAATACCTGTTTAAAAACTAAGCTTAAGATTCTGCGTGTTACTTTACTGTCTGAATTGTACACCTCAATTTAAAAAATTGGTTCATTTTTAGTTGCCCTGGGTCTTTGTTGCTGTATGCCGGCTTCCTCTAGTTGCAGAAGGGGTAGGACCCCGTTCATCGTGGTGCACGGGCTTCTCACTGCAGCGGCTTCTCTGGTTTCAGAGCATCTGCTGTAGGTGTTCAGGCTCTGTGGTCGTGGCTCAGGGCTTATCTGCTCCAAGGCATGTGGAATCATCCCGGACCAGGAATTGAACCCATGCCATCTGCAGTGGCAGGCAGATTCTTATCCACTGTGCCTCCAGGGAAGTCTTATACCTCAATGTTAAAGTATAAGAGCACAGGGATCGACAAAGTGTTTCAGTCCTTAGAGCAGTGCTGTAATGAGACCCAATATTTAAAATCGTGACTTTCTCAGGGAAGTATACTGTGACCAACCATATAAACTGTCTGACCCAACTTCTCCTATGGGTAATGTACCCTTGCATCTTTAAATTTTGTTTACTGGGACATCTCTTGAAAAATCCAGGATTGAGGTAGATTTTTTTCTTGGGGTGGGGGGCAGGAGACAGGCATGCAGAGGAGAAACACATTGTCTTGTTTTCTGGTGGCTCAGACAGTAAAGTCTGCCTGTAATGTAGGAGACCCGGATTGGATCCCGGAGTTGGTAAGATCCCCTGGAGAGGGGCTAGGCTACCCACTCCAGTATTCTTGTGTTTCCCTGGTGGATCAGATGGTAAAGAATTTGCCTGCAGTGTGGGAGACCTGGGTTTGATCCTAGGTTGGGAAGATCCCCTAAAGGAGGGCATGACAATGCACTCCAGTATTCTTGCCTGGAGAACCCCCATGGACAGAGGAGCCTGGCAGGCTACAGTCCATGGGGTCGCCAAGAGTTGGACACGACTGAGCAACTAATACCTTTCACACTCACACACTCACAAATACCCTTCTTCTTCACCCAAAACCGCTAGGTCAGCTCTGGTGGCAGCTGTAATGGCTGCCTAATCACCTTATGCAGAGATGGCCCGGGGCGTCTAACAGGAGTTGAATTAAACATGCTGTGTACGCGACTCCTCTTGGTGCAAGAAGGAACCACGCACGTCTCTGCAAACCCAGAGACGGTTCAGGGACCTCCACACAGCTGTATTCACCCGAAAGCCCTCTTGAGCTCTGGTTCTCAAACCTGGCTGCACAGGGGAATCGCTGGGGAATTCTACAACGGACCTGTTAGGTAGTTAGAATAGGAAAAAGGAGCCCAGAATGGCGGTGGCTAAAACACAAGGGAGGGAAAAGTCCGCGAAAATAGAACAAAGGTAAGTCTGGGGACCAGAGTGAGGACCTCAGGTAGAACAAACAGCACTCCTGGCTAGCCCAATTTACACAGGGCAGGCCCAGGGGGAGGAAAAAACATAAAAAGAGGAGCGAAAGGGCCGGAGCTCTCCTCCTCTCTCCCCTCTTCGCGCCCTTTGGGTCGGCATTCCCTCACGCCTGGAAGATGTATTTTCCTTTATTTTCTAAATAAAACAGCTGTAACACGGAGTTGTCCAAGGGTTTTAACCTCCGTCGCTCCAAATTATTGCTGTTACGAGGCAGAACCGAAGAAATTACACACTCCCACGACATACAGATGCCTGGGTCCTAGCCCCAGGGACGCCGATTTATTTGGTGCGACGTGGGCCCTGGACACTGGGGTGATTTTAGGCGGCCCAGGTGGGGTTACATTCATCTGAGAGCTGCAGTTTGAGGACGTCCTTCCTTCTCTGCACCAGACCTGCACTCCGACCTCAGCACCCCTGGGGGCGGAGGGTAAGGTTCACCGAGCTTGGTACCCCTGCCCGCTCAGACAGAACCGATAAACTCAAACCGCTCTGCCATCCCCGCTAGGGACCCGAACTCTACCTGGGCTGCGGGCGCTCTACGCCCCGCCGCAGCCTCTATGGTACCCTGCAGTCCTCTCTAGCACCCGGAGGACTCCCTCGCCTCCGGCCGAAGCCGGCCGCTCCCTCTCTATGGTGGCGGATTTCCCGGCGCCGCCCGCGGCGGGGTCTTCACTCCGGAAGCGCGGCCTGAGCGGACGAGAGGCGGGACTTCCCGCCGGCTGCGCCCCACGTGCTTCCGCCCTGCCCCGGCCGCGCGCGCGGTGAGTGTGTGGCGTATGCCGGACGCCGGGGGCCCCGGGGGCGCGGGGGGAGGCCCGGGCGGCGGGGAGAGGCTCCGAGCGCGCGGCGACCCCGACGACGGCGCCGCCGCTCCAGGGCCGTCTCCCCGGGCCCGACCCCGCAGGGCCGCGTTGCATCGGATCCGCAGGGCCCCGCGCGTTCGTGCCGGCCGTTTGGGGCCCAGTTCCGGACGCCCTCTCTTCTCCCGGAGAGACGCCACCTCGAGGGGCCGGGCGTCAAGGCGCCGGGACCCGCTCTACAGGCCCGCCGTCGTCGGCTCTGCGACCTTGGGCGGGGCCGCGTTCCCCTTCGAGGCCTAGGTTCCCACGTCCGACGCGGGGTGCCTGAGCTCCCCGAGATTAGCGGCCCCTCCTGGTCGGATGCCCCTTGCGATTCCTCCACGTCCTGCAGCTCCTGCGACGGGAAAGCGGCTGGGAGGGCTGGCTGCTGACCGTGATGTCTCCCTCCTCCCCCAGGAACTAGGAGGCCCGCAGGAGATCTCTTCCAGGGTGCACGGCTGAGATGGACCCACTCAGGGCCCAGCAGCTGGCCGCGGAGCTGGAGGTAGAGATGATGGCCGACATGTACAACAGGTAAGGCCGATCCTGCTGCTCACTTGTCTTAGAGAATGCTCCCGGGTCATCCTTTCCAAGGGCAGAGGTGGGCGACTTAACGAAAAATCTTCGTCTCAATCTAAGATAAACTGAGGTCCATACTTACCTTCCCAGCACCCATGCCCACCCCCACGCATGCATGCCCAGTGGCTCAGTCGTGTCTGACTCTTTCCTGCCCCTTGGACTGTAGCCAGCCAGGCTCCTCTGTCCATGGGATTTCCCAGGCAAGAAGACTGGAGGGGGTTGCCGTTTCCTTCTCCACCCACCCCCATGGTTAAGGGCTAATGCAGACGCAGTGTGGACTCACTGGAAGGACTTGGACATTGGGATTGGGATGGAATTGATGATGGAGGAGCCGAGCAGGAAGAGAAAGTCCAGCCCTGGCTCTAGTTGGGTTCTGGGAACAGTAGAGTTAGTTACCTTTTGGCAGATCGCAGGTAACCCACTTAGCAGTCAGCATTTCTGAAGTGGTTCCTCCATCTCAGTCACGTGTGGAGCACTTAGTTACCTTTTGGCAGATCGCAGGTAACCCACTTAGCAGTCAGCATTTCTGAAGTGGTTCCTCCATCTCAGTCACGTGTGGAGCACTGTATAGGCATGATTTTTTTATACTCTCCACTGAGTTCCCTTGTCTCATTTTTAAGGGGAGGACATTGAGGCTTCTAGAGGTTCAGTAGCTTTCTCAGGGTCCACAGCTTGTCAGTAGCAACCTCAGGACCAGGACTTCAGTCTGACTCCTAACTAGTGCCCATAACCACCTGGCAGTTTGGGAACAAATCACAGCCACACCAACCACCACTACAGTGGCCTTGGGCAAGTTACTTGGACTTGTAGACTGGTGGTTATCGCGGCTATAAAATGGAGTTCATAATAGTACCTTCCTCATAGAGACATTATAAATATTAAATGTTAAAATATAAGATATGGAGAAGGAAATGGCAACCCACTCCAGTACTCTTGCCTGGAAAATCCCATGGACCTAGGAGCCTAGTAGGCTACAGTCCATGGGGTCACAAAGAGTCGGACACGACTGAGCAACTTCACTTCACTTCATGGCAAAATGTCTTGTGTGAAACATGTTTATCTTAATTTCCATGAAACAACATTCTGCAGTCTAATAAAACTTTTATCTACTGTACATAGAAAAAAAAAATATATAAGATAGACTTATCCAGCCCAACACAAGTAGGCAGTCAACAGTTATTTGCTATTTTTATTGGCTAAAACTCTGGTATCCTGTCTTGATTAGTTGGGTTTATCTTGGAGGCTATAATTTATTTAAATATAATTTATTAAATTTATTAATAATTTATTAAAGTAAGCTGTGAAATCAGGCTTCATGCGTGCGTGTAAGTTGCTTCGGTCATGTCCGACTCTGCGACCCCCATGGAGTACTGTAGCCCACCAGGCTCCTCTGTTTGTGGGATTCTCTGGGCAAGAACACTGGAGTGGGTTACCATGCCCTCTTCCAGGTGATGTTCCCCACCCAGGGATCGAACCCGCGTCTCCTGCATTGGCAGGTGGGTTCTTTACCACTAGTGCCACCCGGGAGGCCCCCAGTCAGCCCCTGGGTTCGTAGCCCAGCTCTACGTGATCCCGAGGCTGTCTGTGCCTTCCCTTCTTTCTCCGTAAAAGGGGGTGACGATCGTGCTCACTGCGTAGAGTTATCCTAAGGACTGCATGACAGTCCATGTCTTGCACTTGGCATAATGCCTGGAATGTAGCCAGCACTCAACTAATGGTTCCTGTCTGATGAGTCAAAAACATGGGGTAAACATGGGCTCAGACAAGGCCCTCCCAAGACGGTGGGGTGCGGATTGGGGGTTTACGCTGCCTTCTTGGCGGGTGAGAACAGGGCCGCAGGGCAGGAGTGGTCGCGAGTTCCTGGTTTGCCACAGCAGGCTGCTGATACGACCTTGCCCTTCCTCTAGAATGACCAGCGCCTGCCACCGGAAGTGCGTGCCTCCCCACTACAAGGAAGCAGAGCTGTCCAAGGGCGAGTCCGTGTGCCTAGACCGGTGTGTCTCCAAGTACCTGGACATCCATGAGCGGATGGGCAAGAAGCTGACAGAGCTCTCTATGCAGGATGAGGAGCTGATGAAGAGGGTGCAGCAGAGCTCTGGGCCTGTGTGAGGCGCCGGCCAGTGTGCCCTGCGGAGCGCCCCACCCCTTCCCACTGGGCTGATAAAAGTGCCCCCGTTGGGTGTCATCTGTGAAGACTGCCAGGCCTGGGCTCCTTCCGGAGAGTCTCCAGGAGCCGTTTCCCAGGCGCAGAAGGGTGTTTGTCACCCTGGGCTGTGACTGTGTGTGTGAGTGTATGTGTATATATTATATATTAAAACAAATTTATTGACACCCGCAGTGTGCAAAGCAGTGTGCCTGGCACTTGGGAGTGAAGGCGGCAGACACAGCCTCTACCAGCAGAGGGAGTCTGATGTGTTTAAAAGCAGAGACGGTCCCGTGGCTCAGGTGGGCAGTCCCCGGCAGCCGCTCGCTGTGGGATCGACTGTCGCTTCACTGTGCTTGGCTTCCTCATCTGTAACGTGGGGGGACAGTCATAGGGCTGGGGTGAAGGTTAAGAGAGTTAATGTGAATAAACCACTTAGAATAATGATGGCCAGAGAAGGTTCCCATGTGCTTTGGTTTGGATGCGCTGGGTCGTCGTTGCTGGGTGCGGGCTTTCTCTGGTTGTGACGTGCGGGGTTCTCGTTGCAGAGCACAGGCTGTAGGTGCGGGGTCGTCAGCAGTTGCAGCTCATGGTCCCAGTTGCTCCGCGGCAGGTAGAATCTTCCCGGGCTAGGGATCAAACCCGTCTCCTGCATTGGCAGCTGCCAGATTTTTATGTTTAACAGCTTAGGTGCAGGCCAGTGTTTTCCCAAACGATGGAATAGGAATGATTTTAGACGAGCGGGTGGAAAGTCGATGCAACTTCAGTAGCCACAACATCTTGGTTCCAAATGGCCATAGCGGAACATGTGAAGGGACCCAGCGTCACGCACTGTGTGATCCAGGGAAGGGCCTGAGTGATAACTGCCATTAGCCATTTGGGGTTCACCTGAGTCCACACTGGGGACCGAACTCCTCACCGTTCACGGGATGTGCGGTCTAATCCACCCAGCAGGCTAGAGGCCCTCTTAGGATATGGGGGCTCCGAGAGGTGGTGGTTTCTGGGTCACAGGAGAGGAGCAGTAGCCTGGAGGCCAGGATGGACTGCTGCACGTGCTGCCTCGCAGAGAGGCCGCAGCGACTCCTATGCTGAGGGTGCCCTTGGAGAACTGCGGCTCTCGGGTAGGGCGCTCGCTGCACAGGGACCTTCGGTGACCCCAAAGCCGCCGGAGTAGCAGAGGCTTCATGGCAGAGGGCGGCGTCTGGCACGGAACCTCGCTGGGCCGCTGGGCGCGCAGGACAAGTAGAGGCAGCGCGTGTCAGGCTCGCAGAGGACAGGTTCGGGGAGTTTCCTGGCCGCCCAGTGGTCGGGTCTTGTCACTTTCACTGCCACGGGCCCAGGTTCATTTCCTGGCCGGGTAACTAGTATCCCACAAATTGCACAGTGCATCCGGGAGAAAAACAGCCCAGGTTCGAGTCAGAGCCCCTGGGGTGAAAGTGTTTGTGCCCCTGGGGCGGCATCTGACCCCTCTGCCTCAGGTGTGTGTGCTCGGTCGTGTCCGACTCTTGGTGACCCCGTGGACTGCAGCCCACCAGGCTCCTCAGTCCGTGGGCTTCTCCAAGCAAGGAGACTGCAGTGGGTTGCCGTGCCCTTTTACAAGGGGTCGTCCCGACTCAGGGGTCGAACCTCCGTCTCTTCCATCTCCTGCACTGGCAGGCAGATTCTTTACAGCCAGCACCAGCTCAGTTACCTTGTCTATCAAGTGATAAAGCCAGTTCATCGAGTCGTTTTGAAGATTAAATGTGTTAATAATAACTAAGGCACTTGGGAAAGTGCCTCCCTTTCCCATGTTAAATACTCATAATATTACCTTTTTTTTTTTAATTGCTAACTTGGATGTAAGGAGACATGAGATCCACTCCCAGAAAAGCTAAAAAGCATTGTTCATCACCGTCAGGGTGGGCGGAGCCCGCGTCCGGGTGCTGCGGTGCCGGTGTGGGCCAGCAGGTGGCGCCGTCCGCCCGCTGCGGCCGGTCCGCGGGCGTTCCTCGGGTCCTCAGCGGGGGTTGTGCTAGGGAGGGTCAGTGGTGAGGAAAATAGACGGTGCCTGCCCTCAGGTTTAGCAGGAAGTGTCGGGAGTTTCCAGGGTGCATCGCTGAAACGTATACTAGAAGCAGGGGTGGTCGGGGTGGAGAGAAGAGTGCTTGCAGAAAAGCTCACGGTGGAGTGGGGAGTGGGGTGGGAGGTGGGAGGTGAAGAGACTGTCCGGCCGGGAGGGCGCAGCTCCAGAGAACCTGAAGTGCTGTGTGAAAAGGCTGGGTGTTCTCCGAAGGGCATCAGCAAACCGGAAGGAGGTGAACCCTGGCGGTGAAAATGACAGATCTGCGTTTTAAAGGCTCCCTCTAGCTGCCAGCCGGGTGGGTCAGGGTAGATGGATGGCTTGGATTCGGGGGAGACGTGGATCCCGTGAGGAATGGGTGTGTGTGCGTGTGTGTCTGTGTGTGTGGGTTCGAGCGCAAGTACCAGTGAGGGTTTCCCTGGGGATCCAGAGGTTCAGAGTCCACCTTGCAAAGCAGAGGACGCGAGTCTGATCCCTGGTCCAGGAAGATCCCTCGTGCCAGGGGGCAACTAGAGCCCGAGCGCTGCAAGCAGAGAGGGCCCCTGCTGGCCGCAGCTGGAGAAAGCCTGCACGGGGCGATGAAGAGCCAGCGCGGCCGAGAAGAACAAGAAATTAAAAAAAAACAAAAAAACAACCTGTTCGTGCCACACTGCACTAGTGAGTATATTATTGCATTAAGATCCAATCACAGCTCTGAGGCAGGTATGATGGTTCTCATAGACGAAGAAGCTGAGGCTCCAAAAAGTAACTTCCTGAGGGTCCTCGAACAAGCAAGTGGCAGGACTGCAGCTAATTCAGACCCCAGAGCCCACTTTTACCCACTCCTCTCGGGTGGAGGTAAAGGTGGGCCTGTGGAGTCTGCCTTAGTGAAGAATATGTCTGCAAAGTCATAGTTCATTCAACAATATCTCCAGTTGCCTTGCCACGTGCGGAGAGCTATAGAAAGTGTACAAAGTGAATTAGCTAGGTCGCTGCCTTCAGTGGTGTTGGAGAAGACTCTTCAGAGTCCCTTGGACTGCAAGGAGATCCAACCAGTCCATCCTAAAGGAAATCAGTCCTGAGTGTTCATTGGAAGGACTGATGTTGAAGCTGAAACTCCAATACTTTGGCCACCTGATGTGAAGAGATGACTCATTTGAAAAGACCCTGATGCTGGGAAAGGTTGAGGGCAGGACAAGAAGGGGACAACAGAGGTTGAGATGGCTGGATGGCATCACTGACTCGATGGACGTGGGTTTGGGTGGACTCCAGGACTTGGTGATGGACAGGGAGGCCTGGGGTTATGAGGTTCATGGGGTCACAAAGAGTTGGACACGACTGAGCAACTGAAGTGAACTGCCTTCAATGAGGGCTTCCCAGGTGACGCTAAAGGAATCCCAGTAAGAGATGCGGGTTCAATCCCTGGATTGAGAAGATCCCCTGGAGGAGGGAATGGCAACCCTCTCCAGTATTCCTGCCAGGAGAATCCCACGGACAGAGGAGCCTGGCGGGCTACAGTCCATGGGGTTGCAGAGGGTCAGACAGGACTGAGCGAGTTGGCACGCAGACTACCTTCAGTGAACAGCATGGGGGGTGGGAGGACAGGCGTGGAGCGGTGATCAGACCTGAGGAGGGTGGTGGACTAGGCGAGGCCCTCCTTCTCTGCCGAAGAGAAGGGTCAAAAACTCAATCCGGTGTGCGGTCACTAGACTGTCAGTTTTACAAATCAAGGAGTGTCTCATGAAAAACCAGGACTTCGGCTTCTTTTGAAAAGTTAGATCTGACACGTTAGCCTCCATTCCTGCTTGGCGGGGTTCTGCTGAAGGATGGGCAGAGGCTCCGCTGTCCAGCGAACCTTCCATCGCCCGTTTCCTCCCTCCCTCCTCAGCTGCTTGCCCCGGAGGCCTGTGGGCTGCTCCATACACTCCCTGGGTTTTCAGCCGAGTGGACGCTGAAGGAGAAAACGTGTCGTCATGTCCGGGAGCAGGCGGTCTCCAACGTGGCTCCTCACCACCCGCTCTGCTCAGGCCTGTTCATCCCCAGGATGACCTCCTTCCCTTGTACACCTGAGCTCGAGAGAGGCTTTTGGTTGTTGGATATTTTTTTTCCTTTTTTAAATTTTTTATTTTGCATTGGAGTATAACTAATTAATGGGCTTCCCTGGTGGCTTGGGGGTAAAGAATTGGCCTGCCAAAGCAGGAGATGTGCGTTTGATCCCTGGATTGGGAAGATCGCCTGGAGAAGGACATGGCAACCCACTCCAGTCTTCTTGCCCCAGAAATCCCATGGACAGAGGAGCCTGGCGGGCTATGTATAATCCATGGGGTCGCAAAAACACCAGATACGACTTAGCAACTAAACAACAACATAGCTGGTTAACAACGTGGGGATGGTCTCAGGTGAACAACGAAGGGGCTTAGCCGTACACAGACATGAATCCACTCTCCCCTAAATGCCTCTCCCATCCAGGCCCCATCACACGAGCCGAGTTCCATGTGCTCCACAGTAGGTCCTTGTTGGTTATCCATTTTAAGCACAGCAGTGTTCACTCCTCCTTGTAGAGGCTTGCATCTAACAAACAGAACACAGTAAAGGTGATGAAAACTGCGTCCAAGGTTTGGGGACAAAAGGTCGTCATGGCCGTCCTTATAGTGCTCCTCTCGCTCCCTGCCCTCCCCTCTGTCCCCCTCTCTCGTCAGGCTTGCAGACCCTCAGGAGGCAAGCTTCCCTGTTGTCAGCTGCCCTAGGAAGAGCCCCGCGTGGTGGGGAACTCAGGGCAGCCTGCAGCCCACCGTCAGCACGGAACTGAATCCTGCCAGCACCCGCCTGACTGAGCTGGGACGCAGATCCTTCCACAGTCGAGCTGTCGGACGACTGCAGCCCCATGAAAGCCCCTGAAGCAGAGGACGGGATGAGCCTGCACCCTGA